AGTCAATGTTTGATGATATAATATAAAACGTGTTTATTAAGTGAACCATAATATATTAATGCCAAAAATAAATGACAAGCACACCCTCGCCCATATATACAAGCGTGTCATAAATATTTCATTATATAATCGATACAGTTTCATATATTTTTCTTTATTACAATATTTAAATTGCTGAAATGTATGGATTTATTTGGTATTGAAAGTAAAAATATTTATGTATAAATTATAAAACGTTTCCTCGGAAAAACATGGTTAATACTATTCTATTCGTGTTTATGACAATATTATTTTTATCATAAAACAAAACACTTTGTCCACGTAGCCTTTAATAATAATATTAAATATTTCTCTGAAATAATTGTTTATGGTTGACTGTAAGATTATTTATAAAACTTTAACCATGATGTTTGATACAAACCAAATTATAATAGATTTAGTAACATGTGCAATGTTTCTTCTTACATATGATATTATTTGACATACATTGTATTTTTGTGAACTTTAAGTTTGGCATTCAGAGAAATTTATAATGTTCAAACCACAATAATAATAATAATAATAATATATCATATGTTCGACAACGTTCGGTGCTCACAGTGTGAGTTGAGCATTATTAGGTTTTATTATTATGAATTATACAAAAGTCTGTTTAAATTATGTTACATACGTTGCACAATTAAAGTTTTTTTTTTTTCTATTCATATATTTAAAACATGTTTATAATCTAAATGGCAAAAATATGTAATTATAAAATATATTTTGAACGTATAATAATTACAATACTTTTTTTTCAAATTTAAAATTGTTAAATGCAGGACAAGCTTATTCTTTAGAATAAGAACACATATGATATTTAAATACAATGTAAAATTAGATAAAAATTAAGTCACTTAAAATAGTTAATTTCATTAAGATGGGGATTTGGTTTAAATAAAAATGTCATAATTGAATACTTTACTGCATATAGCAGAGGAAGTTTGACGATTAGAACGTTATGGTATGTTATGAAATAAATAACGCTGGTTGGTTTCAGGTTATTATTTGATACTTTATTTTTCACAAAAGTCATTCGCTTTAATATTCAAAAAAAAATGTTTTTTTTTTTTAACTTTTACATAAAAGCTCGTCGAGCTGACAGAAAGAATACGTAAAAACACCTAACAATGGATGATTGTTTAATTACTTTTACTTGGTAAATAGGCTAATCTTTTCTTCTTGAAATTTCAATATTTGGCGTTGTGTGAAGATTTTAATATTACGCACGACAACACTACTATATTCGTTTTTGCTACTCGAACGTTTATACTAGAATATTGTATTTTATTATTAATTTTTCCACACTAGACATACATGAGAATATATACATATTAGGATTAGGAGTAGCAATAAGTTCGACAATATTAATACTATGGTAATAATTGTCAGGTTTTAAATGGTTTTTAAACTTATATCTTCATGTGTAAAATGGAAGTAATAGTAAAAATATCATAACCCATTGGGATCGATATTTTCTTTTTTTTTTTTTTTTAATTTTTTTTAATTTTACAATCAGTAACTATATTATTTTTACAATAAGTATTAATGTTGTACAATTAAAAAAAAGTATATATAAAAAAAAAAAAAATAATAAGAATAAAATAAAATAAAATGGGATTGATATAAATAAAGAATAGGAATACCTAGATAGCTGTTTGATTTTCGTAACATTTCTCATTTTGTGACATTTTTATTCTAATGTTGATGCAACATCAGCCTCTGAAATAGATAAATGAAAGTTACTGCCAACAACCCTCAGATTCTTATCAGATTCCAGTTAATAAGTAAGATAAAGTGGTTTTCGTTTCACACAGATACCAGTTTCGCTCAAATTCAATTATAATATAATACTCGTTTTAACTAGATTGACTTATTTTAATTTTAAATAAAGATAATAATGGTTATTTTAATAAAATTATTCATTTTAACATTTTTGATATAGGAAATAAATAGGTAATTTTTAATATATAAATTATATAATATAGTTTTATTAGAATATAATTTATTATTACCAAAGTAGCATACCACGAGGGACCAATACTATTTTGTTTTTTCAATAGATTTTTTTAATTTATATTCGGTTTCCAATATTACATTTAACATTTTCTTAGTATTGATCTATATTATAGTTATGTGTATAATGTAAGATGATTAAAAAAATAAAATTGAAATACACATAAAATTAAACAATTAAGTGTTTTAATTTGATCCAAAATAAATGTATTAATACCTACTTACACTTTTTAAAACTATTATTCTTACTATGAATAAATCCTTGTCATATGATATAGTACTTTAATATAGTTCAAGAAAAAAAATTCTTTTAGTTTTCATAAGTGTCTATTTAGATTTTGAAATTATTAGACGTTGATTAATTAATGATACTTTTTAGGCTTATGATATCTTTGAAGTTATTTCCTTTCCAGTTATTATATATATTCAAGGACACATTTAATAAATACGTGTGGTAAAAATGTATTTTTATATTTTTTGGTTTTTAGTTGATTGTGTTATCGTTTTCCTTGATTCTAATTTTTGATAAGCCATTGAAATCATTATCATCAACGAAAATACATGCATTTATCTAGTTCTATCCGTTTAAAATTTAAAAATAATTTATGCAATTATTCAGCACGCAATTCGCATTAATTTTATTGACGATATTCCAGTAGCAAATCGAACTTTTGGGGCGAATTAATATCGTGCAAATTTCAAGCAAATTATATGTTAAATATTTACTGAAAAAAATTTTCAAAAGCTGAAATAAATGAGGTTGGAGAAATGTACATGAGTGGTGTGGTGTAAAATACTTGTGTGCTATCAGACAATATATTAGTAAAATGCAATATTTCAAAAAAACAAAAAACATGTTTACTCTATTAAAATTAAAAAAAAAAAATTGTAAAACGATTAGTATAACGAAAGTTAAACAAATATGTTTTTAGTTAATACATTATGATTACTAATATTTAACTTACGAGTAAAGTGCATAATATATAACGTTACACTAATATTCGTCATTTTCATTTCAAAATATTCCGTCTTTTTTTTTTTTTTGATCTTTTTTAAAATATTTAATAACTTTAATTCAACTTAATTGACGAACCAGTACAGTAAAATAAATTAGGTTATATATTTAAGAAATAAAAAAAATATTTTGTAATTTATAATTTTTCATGAACATTCATATTGCTGTACGGGTATACTTAACAATGTCAAAATAATAACATTTCTAAAATTAATACATTTTATCAAAATAAAAATTGATGTCGAATAACCGATAAAACGAAAAGACATTTTAGAGTGTCTAAATTAAATGTATTGTGGTTATGCTAGTTTGTTGCTTTGTGTATTTTAAGTCCTGTGTTATATGCTAAAATTCATGCTATCACACGAATATTTTTGTAAAACCCATAAAAATACAAAAAAGAATGATTGGTTGAAAAATCATGGTTGACACGTGTGTATAAAATTGTTTTACGTCAAATAATATCAGATCAAGAACTGATAAAAAAACAAAGCATTATTTTTCCAAAAATGTATAGTCCACTTAAAAATGGTTTCTAAAATGTATCTTTAGTATGAAATATTAATTTATATTAATATTGGTTTTATTGTGTTTCGGTAGTGAATTATGCAGAATAATAAAATTATTTTAATTAAATAAAGTATCATAGATTAGGTAATATAACATAATTAACATAATGTAGTAAGACTATGTCAATTATTATAATAAAATAATAAAATTAAATAGACTATATGTAAATTAAGAAAGTATACACATGGATCAATATTTATCATAAAAATATTTATTGGAATTATTAACTAAAGAAAAACAATATTTTTATGTAACTTTATATTTTATGATATGCACTACATAAGAATAGTATTTTATTTGAATTATATATTGTACATAAATTGTAAAAATCTAGGATGGCATAAATCAGTAAAAAAAATTTCCCGAAATATAATAAATTAGTAGGTAATATTTATAATTAAGATAATATTATTAAGGATATAAAAAATGCAGACCAATATTGAATGGGTGTATTATTTAATATGATGAATGCAATATTATTGAGACAATATTATTCAGGATCATTTTTACAGTAAAGGTTCATATTTATTATCAATTCTAAAAAGTGTGGTCCTGTATAATACTTTCTAGGATTAGTAATCTTCCTAATATTTCTATTTAATATTTATCCCAATTTTTTTAAATCGAATTAATAATGACTTCATGACAATAGTATTTTTAATAATAGATAATATTATTGAAATCTATTTTAATCTTTTATATCATCCTAGTTTATATAGTTATACTAAGTATTAGTTAAAGTAAGTACTATTACTAAATTATATGAAAGTAATATAACCTGTATATTAATTTCTATTTAATAATTTTCTAATTTATATAACCACTATATATATGTATATAGGTATAAATGCCATGTTACAATATTTAATTAAACGAAAATTGAATAAATATATTATTTATAACTGATTTTTGACGAAATTTGAACGATGAATTTTCAATTTAATATTTAAATATAACAATAAACCGTCTAAAAGATAAATAAAATAGAATTTTATGCTTTGGTTTAAAAATTATGAAACATTATAAAAGATTTTAAATCAATCTGCTTTAATTTTCTGTTAGACTTTATATTCGATACAGTTTTTAAATAATACGACCAGCGAAATATATAACTTAACAATAGAAGTTTTTCTAAACTACAAGCACATATATTCAATATATGTACTCGTATGTGAAATACATAAAAAAATAAAAAATTTCACTTAAGATTGGTATTAAAAGAACACACTCGTATGTATTTTTTTATTTTTCTGCTTCAGGTTTAAAATTGATTTTATCATCAGATCAAAAATAAAATAATTTTTTCTTCAAAACATTGTGTCAGCTGAGAATATTATGATCATGTCTTGATGTTTATTTGCAGGCGTAGAGCTGGTGATTCGAGATGCACAAGGTGGCGTCAGCGTATACAATGTTGAAACAAACAAACACAGGGTACTCCTCACGAGCTCGTCTTTTGTAAGTGCCAATTTACTAGTATTAACTGAGCATAAAATATTCGCTGATTGATGTCAGATTCTCAAAGCAATAAGGTTTTTTTTTTTACTTGAAATTGCGTTTCCACGTTTGGGCGTAATTAGTTTTTTAAGAGAAAAAAATAACTACGAGTATACGGATCGATGGGCCAGACGTTTAACGAAATACCAATTGATTCCAATAGCTTTTGAGTAATCCCCAAACGATTAACTGGGATTTAATCTCTATGATATTAAAAAAAAACCAGACATCGTGCATACACATCTACCGTTTATAAATTATTTGTATAAAATTGTAGATTGTTTATGAAGGTATTGAGTAAAAAAAAACTATATAATTTAAATCCCATATGAGCCGTTACGTGTTTTATTCAAAGCAATAAGAAAATAATATTGTATAGTATAGTAAAATAAAATAGTTTGTATGTATTTAAGTGAAAACGATTTTATTCTTAAACTTTATGGGAAATAAAAAACAGTGATGGTTTTTAAAATTCAGTGAGAAAAAGAAATTTGGTTATTTTGGATTTTCAATAAATTCGTTTAACTAGTTATTTTTATCATTAAATTGCTATTATAATTATTATATTTTTTTTTTTTTTTATATTTTGTAGGAAACCCTTTTTTATTACTATTTCCAATCATACCTTAAATATCTAAAAATTACCAGTTTTTTTTTCAATTTCATTAGAATTATATATCTCCATTTAAGATGATTATTTCTAAACAGTATTATTAATATTTATATCATACACTAATATTTTAGTAAGTTTTGTAACGCGTATATTTTTAACAACGATATTATTAGTCATATAGTAATAACCATATTAACAATTAGGTAACATTAAATAAATTAATCAAAAACAATAACTTAAGTAATAATGAATATAATATGTTATAAACATAAAAAGGTAAATAAATTACAGAAGTATCAATAGCAACACTATTTTATTGTGCACTAGATTTTTTTTCTATCGTTCAATCATGAATACTTCTTTTTTACAAAAATGATTTATATTTATAATGTAAATTAAAAAAAAAAAAAAAAAAAAAAACAGTTTTTGTAAATTACCTAAGTTGTATTATAAATAATGATCATTTTATCAATGAACTTAATTATTTCACAAATAAATAACGTTTTAGAAAAAAAAAGATTTTTACGTATTTTAAAATTCTTAGTAAACATTGTTTTTGAAGATAATAATTTATAATTTATATAATATTAAACTGTGCTATTTTTATTATTGATGATTTAGTTTTAAGTTTTTACTGTTGTAAATTAAGAAATTTATTTTTAATTTATTAAGCAGAATACTATTTGATATATTTTAATTTATGAAAACCTAATTTTGGATTAAATTTAGATGCTTATTAGTTTTAAGTATTTAAATAATAAAAGAGTAGAATATTGGATCAACATTTTTGCAGGTACTTTAGTTCTCCCCTTCACTCATCTGAACGTTAAGCACATTTAATTCATAAACTAATCATCCAAGATCCTCAAATATTTATTGTAGTACTTCCAAAAATATCCTGCTCTGGAAATAAAGATGAACAAATTATATTATAATTAAAATAAAAACAAATTTAATTTAATTAAAATAAAATAAAAAAAAAAACTCAAGAAATTTTTACAATAAAAATAGTAAAAATAAAATTGTTGTATAAAGACCTAATGTATAAAATATTTTCAAAAATTGAAATGGTTTTTAAAAATTTTAATTTTTTTTTTTTTTTTTTTTAATATAAAAATTAACTAGCATCCGATTTAGTATTATATAAACAACATGTTATACAAAGTTATAGCTATGAAAATATAACCGATGTTTTTTTGATTTGTGCTTGTTTTTAGAAACGAGTGAACGCGAATAAATTTCAAATTTCCAGCGATCAAAATTACGTGCTGCTAGTATCGGATGAGAAAAAAGTAAGTTATTCGCACCTTGTGTCAACGGATATTGTTCGACAAACTCTGCACGTGTGACATTGATATAATATTATTACTTATAATAAATCACGTTATGGGATGTATATAATAACAATATTACTCTCATAATATAATAATGTATATTGCGAATGTGATTTGTGAATATAATCTTGTAATTGTGTACGTAATGGCTGGATTAGATTCCAGTGAGATTCGTAAAAACAAAAAAATGATAAAGGTTACTTGTAATGTCCATAATGTACGAATATGGGCGGTGGCCGAGTTTGATTTATGAATATGGTTGAGATAACGCTGTCAGTCGACTGGTTGAGTATTTCTGCAGATATATTGGTTTTTTAATACCGTCGTTGTTGTATCGCATTTTTAGCCTATTTGTCGCAGTAACCGAACCGAGATATTGCCACTTACCTTTTTCTTTTTTTATTTATGTCTCGAAAAAAAAAATCACTTAGACCATTCACTTCCATCTCTCTCTCTCTCTTTCTCTCCCATTCTGTTTTTCTTTTTCTTCGTTTCTCTCCATCATTCTTTTTGATACCTTTCTTTTTCCTCTTTACACTCATACACACTCAATTTTGAACTGTAAATATACCAAATGAACTGTAAAGACAAAAGTTTTTGTCTCCCACACACCGTACCGGTATCATTAGTTATCGTTTTCTGAACGATTTAACCCACACTCGTCGGCTGATGGGTTCCATTCTTAATCGTACGAACTTCGTTAGAAAGACACACACACATATATATATATATAAATATATACGTAGCATCTATAATATAATTTATAGGATATTGTATCACAGATCTAAAGAAGAAGCTTTGTATCCTAGAAGGGTACGATGTGCATAAAGGCGAAAACTATTTTTTTTTCCATTTCCTTTTCAGAAGTATTCGTTCATCCTTTGACCGTAGTCCGACGAACGTTTGGGTACCAATTCCCTGAAGGCTGAAAGAAATGTACATTTTGAGAAATGATAAATCTCATAATTTGAGTGTATTCGAATGATTTTTTTTGTGTTAAAAAAAATAAAAATTAATTTTTAACTTTTTTTCAAATTATACATACTATTGATATAGAATAGTGTGCACGATGTGAGTTCAAATCAGAATAACTTAATACATAAGGTGTTACTATTTACTATAAACTATTTTTGTTTAAAAAAATTAATTTGAAACTTAAACATTGGTTGAATTTTTATCATTTATATTTTAATACAAAAACCATATTAATTGCAAATTATTTATTTATTTTTTAGATATCATTAATATACAGTACTTACAATTTTATTACTAAACTTTTTATTCACGATCATCATAAAATTTATATGATTGAGTATCAGATGTTAGGTTTAACTATCAAGGTTCAACAGTTTTTATAAATGAAACATATATATTATTCAATATAATTATTATATCTTGTAGATTTATAAAAAGTCTGTACATTTTAACATTTTGAAAAAATATACTTTAAAGGTATAAATATTATGACTATAGCTTAAAAGCACTTAAATTAAATAAAAAAGTTTAAAATTTAATTTTATAAATTTATATAGTATCTATCGACGTGAAATTATCCAATTTTCAGTAATTTTGTTATTAAACTAAATAATAATTTTTAATTATTGTTTCATAATATTTGTGATAATTTTATTCATAATTATTCAATCATCAAAAGTTTATTAAACTTATTCACAAAATATTTAATTTAATAATTAATATGTAAATGCATTGCTCCTTGTTTTAATTAAGTATATTATTGTATATAAAATATAATTAAAAATAAACGTATTTAAGAAATATTTTCTACCAAAAAATGAAAGAATCTATATTATAATTAATTAATAAATACAATATAATTTTTATAACAGAAAAATATAAAATTTCGTTTAATTAAAATCCATATAACAACCTGTAAACAGTGATGACAATTTCATATGCTTATTTTATTTATCAATATCATAATGCAATTTTTTTTCGAATAAAATGGATTTTGATTAAAAACATATCAATTTTGATATATTTTTACTAATATTAAAATCAAATTAATAATAAGTATCATGGTGAATGAAATCTGACGAATTTTGCATTTAAAAATAAAGCAATAATAGTGTTAAAAGATTAATCGGTTTAAAATTAATACTATTGAAGAGAGTTTGACCCCGATAGAAAAAAAAGAAACAATAATAAATTACTAAAAGCACTTTGAATCTGTTACGAAAATACATTTAAAAATCGCTGAGCAAATAACTGTCAAACTTATAGTATCTAATGAATTATACCAATTTGTCATGCTATATTTCCGGGATTATTTTTTGGAAAATTCAATATTTTCCTATAATTGGATTTTTTTTTTTTTTTTTTTTAGTATAGTATTACAATAAGAAATGTTTGTTTGTATAGTGAATTGTATTATATTGTCTTGCTTGGGTAATAACCAATAAAAAGTCTTATAGTTTGAACTATATTATTATAGATTTTACGAAAGTATTTTGTTATTTTGGTACATAAAACGAGAGTTCCTAACGATATACTGTATACAGTGAACACCGGCCATGTATTTTTATATTTACAAAATGAAATCCATATGAAAACACTACTACTGTGCACAAGTAATATATTTCACCATCAGCTTTATTGAAAACAATACTATGACCTTTTTATAATTTTAAAACAAATTAACAAATAAAAGTAGAACAAAAATTAAAACAAAACACTTTTGCTGCAGCGTACTCTCGAGAAATGAACGTACAACCGTCTATGCCAAAAAAAAAACGATAAAGTTAAAATGAATGTTTGATTTGCATAAGCCAGAATAGAAAGTTTTCCGTCAACGTCACGTCCACGCACGTATTGCAGTTTTTCTTTGGCCCGTTGACGTTTGACGTAAACGACGAAAAGAAAAAATGTTTTAATATGTAAATATTACACATGCTCACAATAATACATACGTGCTTACTGCTTATTCTTTAGCCGTACCCACGTCAACCGAATGCCCAGGAATATTAAGAAATAACGAATACTCGATATTATATATAAAAAAAAAAAGTAAATCGAAACGAAACGAATGACAAAAAATGGTTTTTAGTTATTATATTTATTTATATGCATTAAGTACTAAAATTATACACTTTTAGGAAGAATAACAGATTCGAAACTGTAACATTTAGACGTGCCTCGTGAAAAATAATTGTTCGTAGAATGTGATTCGATTGATTTTCACAAAACGAATAATATCCATACTGTGCATAGTTACCTATAATATTAATAATAGAACTATATATAATAAATAATAATATTATTAAACACGTAGATACCGTTACTGCCGTTTTCGTTTTGGAGTTTTGTTTTTTTTTTTTTTTTGCATCAACTTTTGAGGGTAGGGTGAGAGTTGTCCGTCGCTTTTCAATGAACATAATATTATGTTTACTTATTCGCATAATTTTATTTAGGAACCCCGTTCAATTGTTTTTGTTTCAAAAAATGTCATCGATATAATCGAAATACACATGTATAATAAGTATTACGGGCATTATTTTGTGGGTAAATTTGCTATAAAATATTAAATTACAATTTTTTGTCGAAAATTCAATTTTCATTACTGCGATCGTTCATTTTAAGTATGCAACACAATATGCAAAAGATAGACTCCTTAAGAATATACACTTTTATTATAATACCGATCATGATTATATTTTATTACGAGTCATCTGCGTATTTTATATTTGTATTTAATTTAAAATAATTAAACAGATATGTTTAAAATAACATATCGTCAATTTTTTGCAGTAATATATTTATTTTTAAAAATAATTGGACAAAAAACTGATCTTACAATAAACATTTTTAGTTATTTAGAAGAAAATAATGACTTCGTATAAATATATCAGGGTTTGTCCAAAAATATACATAAAAAAAAAAAAGTCATAAGCGTATTTTTAATTTTGAAATTCATAAAAACGAAATGATTTTTATTTAAACAATAATAGTAGGTATCTGTTTTTTTTTAAGAATTGTATGAATGAACAATGAATTAAATTTGATATCGCGTATGCTAAACTTTCAACAACTCCGATAAAACTTGCAAAAATAAACTGAAATTATTTATACTAAAAAATTGCACAAAAATTATTTTTTTATTAAAAAACTTTCAATCTTTATGAATACAACTTAAAAATTAAATATATTCTATATATTTAAAATAAGTATTATATTTTAATTTCATATTAACTCTTAATTATTTAAAAAAAACTGACACGTGTATAACTAGTTTAAGAGATACAAAGGTTGATATAAAACAAAACTATTATAGTTAACTGAAGTTTTCTATTAAACTTATTTTTATTTAAATCATCAAGTTTTTTAATACCTTGGTAGATTTTCAATTTCATTCATTGAATGACTTGGCTAAATTCAAAAATGATAATTCATACAATATTTTTTAGAATACTAAACTACCATATTATGAAATTTAAATTTATTAATTTCATATATTTATATTGGGCGTTAAAAACAAACATGAATAAATAAATAACTAGTAATAATAGTCCCAAATTTCAAGTAATATAATGTTTATAGAATGATTATTATTAATATTTGAATATAGTGTAGTCACTTTGCAATAATTTTATTTGCTATTATTTTGTTTTTGTTTTATATATAGTTTGTATAAATACTTAATTCATAATTTTATTTCGAAAATGGTTAAATTATACTCAAGAATTTGACATTGTGTGTAATTACATTATTTTAATGTTTCAAATATAAAAAAAAAAAAACTTTTTTCATTATAATTTGATATATTATTATAAGTAGAGATGAATAAAATAATTTTGTTTGATTCAAATCTTCGACAATGTATAAATAACAATACTATCAAAATATAATAGAAATGGAAGTTATTTTTCTTGAAAAATAAAAAAAAACTTGTGTTCTTTAATAATATTAAGATACTTTTTGTATATTAATTAAAATTAATTAAAGTAATTGTATTATTAACATATTACACAAAATATTATAAAACAATTAACTATGTAATAAATAAAATATAGGTTCACTACTATAATAGTATATTAACAAAGTATAAAATCTTAAATATCTGACATACCTATATATACCTATACGGATTAGCTGCACAGTTTTAATATCAAACCAAATTACTCAACCAAAAAACTTTCTGGTGGTTTTTTATTAAATACCACACAATGTTTGTACACTTTACGAGAAAAATAACCTCTTATTTGGTATTTTTTTTTTTTTATCTACTCTTTCATGACGTATTTTCTTGGTTTTTTTTTTTTTCTTTTTAAATACTTGTAGAACATAAACTTTTACTACGATCCTTGGATAAATTCATTCTTGCACCTTACCGCCATCAGTGTTTAATGCACATAATGGACAAAATGTACATTTCATCACGAACATTTATAATGGAGACCCGTTAGCATTATGAGGTATGATACATGTGTATAGTGGACTAGCTTAATATATTTTTAAGAATAAATTTACATTTTTATGACTCTTTTGGATACATGTCTGCCACGTGATTAAGCTTTGTGACAACCATTGCAAGGACACCAGAAAAAATCACGGTTTAATACATAATAAAAAAATCATTTATCCAACATTTTATTATTTTTAATTTTAAATTTTTTCATTTCAATGAAACTCAATTACATTTTTATGTTTATCTTAACTCGTATTCATACTAGTATTTTTATTTTTTTTTATTATTTTATTACTTAAAAGTTGATAATAAAAAACAAAAATTTAGTATTTACATAAATTATCTCGCTAAGTTATTAGAAATATTATTGTTAATTATTTCTTATGGTCAGTCTCTATTCCTACTTTATTAAATTAAAATATAAAAACTTCTAATGTTGAAAATTTTGTTTTGTATCTTTCATAAAACCACGCGAAAAAATTATTATAATTATCACGTTATTTTAGTATTATATTTTTACTTACCTAAATATTAAGCCTAAAATAGTCTAAAAAATGTATTATTAGTTTATTTTACATTAGTGTATTTTACTTAAGATTTAACTCTCTGAAATATTTATAGTTTTATAAGTATTTTTATTACATATTTTTGTAAATTATTATTATTATTGGTTACCAGAATTTCATGATGTATTTAATGTAATGCTTAAATTAAAAATACCTTTTTACAATGACATAACACAAATTCTAATGATAGTTTCTTGTGTTTATTTTATTATACTCTATAAGTGTGTTTTATTTATACGTATGTACGTATAAAGTACAAATATAAGGTTGTATTTCTAAAATTAGATTTAGAAACTACACAGTATATTGCACTGTATTGAAATTTGAAAAAAAAAAGTTCATTAAGCTTGATATTTATATCTTCTATATTAGGATATTGTACCCACGATATTTAAACGTAGTACAGTGATTATAATAATTTTGTGTATTTATAGTAGTAACATATAAAGTGAAGTATTGTACCTAACCAAATATTCAATACTTTAAATTCAGTTTCTACCCAAAATAATATTTATGGAGAGATGATAAAATTACACATATATAGTTAAAGCCAAGAAAATATTCTATCTCTTTGCAATATTGAAATATTTTAAAAGTAATCCAAAAATAATCGGATTGGAGCTGATTGAATGGGGGATAAAATATGAATTCTGGCTATACTGACTAAACATATATTATAAAGGTAAAAAATCTTTAAAAAGAAAAATAAGATAGTAATACATTTATTGTAGTATCAATATTGGAATAATAATTGAGTTTTTTGAAACTTTCATTATTCTTTACACTTGTTTTTAATACCTATATATACATTGTTATTTAAAAAAAACGCTCAGATTTTGGTATTTTACATTCTCGACATTTTTGGTTTTTAGATTTACACAAACACGCGGGAGGCCAAGTATCATGTTTTTGAAGTGTCAACCCAGTAAGTCACAAAGTGAATAGATTCCCTGCAGTGTTCCCCGCTCCTCTTTTTAAGTGGTTATAACGAGGTTTTTTTGCGGTTTTTAACAGAAATGGCGTACCTCTTATGATTGCCTCTAAAACAATCGATGATGGTGAGCAGATTTACATACAAAAAGCGCAATGGTCACCATTAGGTAGTGGACTGGTGTTCGTACACAAAAACGATTTGTATTACAAAATCCACGGGAACCGGCACAGCAGAGTTCTCAGGATCACAGACACGGGTTCGTCAACCGTGTTCAATGGTATACCAGATTGGCTGTATCAGGGTAAGCTATACATTTAAGATACTATTATACTGTTATTAACATAATAATTATATGACACATCTAACTGTGTAAGCCATAGTTTGACGGTTAAGAAATGCAAAAAATTATACGTTGTAAAAGTGAATATATTTCAATGAATATTCAGGAGAGTTTAACTAATTTAAGTTAATTTTTAAAATCATTATAATAATTGAGTTTAAATAATTCATAAATCAAACAAGTTAATTAGATAAAAGCCATCAATGGCAATAACGGTGATATAGACACAATATTTTCAAAATGCTTAAAATAACAATAATCCTTCGCTCATCAATATGAAGTTTGATTAAAATATATGTTTATAAATATTGATGAATAAGCATATTACGGTAATTTTTATTTTAAATTTTAGAAGAAATTTTCAAATCTGATAAGGCGTTTTGGTTTTCACCATCCGGACGGTATTTAGTGTATGTGACGTTTAATGATTCATTGGTCGGCGAATACAAATATCCAGTATATAACACTAGATTCCAGTATCCGTATTACCAGTCTCTACGATATCCCAAGGTAGGTACTGTTATATTATTAGTTAACAAAATTTTCTGTTTGAATATCTGTATTATTTTTTTTATTCTCACACAAACTATCTAAGTATAAACACGTTTGATAATTATGATAATATTCACAGTTTATTGTAATGTTTGTATTATTTTTGAAAAAGTAAAAATTTAACAGATAATAATTATAAGTATTATTAGTATTAAGATACACGATTATTAATAGTTTTAACACTTAGTTTATATTGCCAAGTAATAATAGCATTTTTACTAACATGATATTTTTATGAATTTAAAAATAATTTACCTTTTTTCGTTCAATATAATATTATGATGTTTTTTTATAATGAGAAATAATTTTATTTTATAAACACCTTTATAAAAATCTATTAAAAACAACAATGAAAAATTGAAAATGAATGGTTTTTTTTTTTTTAACCACTAAGATAGTATTTAAATTTGTGATGTACTCGTACTATAACAATAAGTATAATTATATTAAATTATTTCATATTATGTCACACTTAATTAATTTCTGTCGGTGATCATAATTTTTATTACACAAAAAACATGTAAAAATATTATAATTTTGTAAATATATTTTATTTAAGCTGACACTTTACTATTTATTCTAGGCGGGAACACCGAATCCAACGGTTACTGTGTGGTTGAGAGATCTGAAAAATGATAGTTTGTCGAACGTTACGCTATTGCAAAAACCACAAACCTTACAAACGGAAAGGTGAGTTAATATTTTCAATGGTAGTAAGTTGATGAAAAATTCACTCAAATTACCTAGTTAAGTTAAAATAGCATTAAGAATGTTTAGTTGTTATTTAATTTTTAACAAATAATACATTTCACTTTAAATATTTAAAGTAAATATGAAGACAAATATTAATTTAAGATCGTTAAAAATGTATTGTTTTTTTTTCTTAGTTACCTTTTTTGACCTACAAAATAAAGTGATTATGCAATTTTATTTTTTTTATTTTTAAAAACCAAATATTTTATTGAGAAATACATTTTATAGTATAGTTTCTTATTACATACAATCCATGGTAGTGGTTTTATGTTTAGGTAGTTTAATCAAGGTTACATCAATTAGTTTATTAAATCAATTAATATTCATATATCAATATAGCTATTTATATTTAAAATTATTTAAATCAATAATTACAGAAAAATCTATCAATTAATTAGTTTAAGCTATAGCTATAGATTATTATAGGCTTATAATAAATTTAATTTTTTGTGATATTTATTTGCAATATAAACTAAAAAAAAAAGATAAGTTGTTAAAACAGGTTTTTCAATTAAATTTGTTGAACTAATAATTAGAAAGTAAACTAATTATTATTAAGAAGTTTAAATAAAAGACTTTTTAACTAAAAAATGTATTATATTTTTTTTTCATTTTATTTTTATAGACTGAAATTGTATGAATTATTATTATTTTTTTTCTAATTATTGTTTTTTTTTTTTTTTTTATAGTGAACCTTATTTAATGCATGTCAAGTGGGCAAATGAAAGGCATATCGGAGTAGTTTGGATGAATAGAAAGCAGACGACAATGGTGATATCTATTTGCTCTGAGCCCAACTGGCAGTGTCAAGACGTGAGTATAAAACTATAATGTGAATCTGTGGTAGAAGTATAATTTACTTATTCACTGTCTAGACCCAATATTTTATTGATATAAATATTATAGTATTTTTTGATATATAATTATTATGCTATAAATATAAATATATTATATTATAATAACTTGAAAATTAACTTAAAGAGCATACTGTATGTAGATCAATAAGTGATTATGTTATTTATTTTACACAACCTATACAATTTCCTATCAAAATTTCTATCTATATATAATATATTAGTTGATAATATTTGTAAAGAGAAAAAAATGTTGTCGAACAAGTGCATTCCATATTTCTGTGTATACGAATATATAATTAATGTAGAGTGATGATTTAAAAAAAAAAAAAAATTCACTATGATTTTAAACAGTTCATTTATTGCGAATAAACATTTTGTTATTTTTGTAATAAACTAAGTATACTTTTACATATCATTTCAGTCTTACGTTGAAAAAATTGCTGATGGAAAAGGGTGGTTGGAAAACACAGAAATCGTGTTCAATGAAGATGGCACTAGTTACTTGGCAATACTACCTGTACTTGATGGTCCACGTGGCACATATCCACACATCTGTATTGTAGATATATCTACAAAAATCGTACTCCCGTTGACGAGTGGAAGTTTTTGCGTCGTTCGAATTGTCCAGTGGGACCAGACGAACCAACTTATGTAAGTAATAATATTTATTGTTGTGAAATATGGTGATGATAATTTTATCCAACAAAAATGTTATATGATTTAATAATAAAGAGAAATAGATAATAATATGTAAAACATAAAGTTATAAAACACGATCATTTAAAATTATTTTTGATATTTTGATCGTAAAACACTATTTTTTTATTATTTATTTATTTATTTATATTTTTTTTTTTTTTTTTGAGGGAGAGAGAAGATAGTACTTTTTAAAAATAAACAAAAATGTTTACTTTTTATGCAGTTATAGAGAATAAATATATTCTTTTAAATAATCACACATATTTTAATTTGAAACTTTTTTTATTAAACGTCGAATTAAATCAATGAAAACTTGCAATATAACAGTGTCTACGTATATTCTCTTCTCGATTTTAACATTTTTACGGAAATAAGTATATTTCTATTTATTTTGATCTTAATAAAATCGTATGATGTTTTACACGATTAATAATATGTTCGTGGTATAAACATATTATTACTGTCAGTGTAACATATTTTCTTCACGGGTAGCTAGTAGCTACCGTCGGATATGTTTCTTATAGCAAAGTTTTGTTTATATCGAATTCAGTATGTAATATTGAAGCTTGATATCAAGGTTACCTGATTTAGGAAAAGTTTTCGTTTATTGATAAATATAAATTAATAAATAATCGTATATTGATAAAGTACAATATAGTAATTTATAATAATGTATAAAGAATATAAATGTCACAGACCTTGGTATGGCATGATGACGTGCCCCGAGTGTGAGAGCTTGCTCATGATCATGTTGGTTGTCTCAGAATTTTTTCCGTGGTCATATTTCTATTAATTTCGCACTCTTGCCAAGCACGCATCAGACATTATTATATATCACGTTGCACTCTGGAAAACCTTAAGTCATCCAGTCAGCCTAACTTCCTATTTCTTATACTCAGCGTATTAGCCGTTCCCTACCCAAAGTAATGTATTATATTGATAGACGGTAATCCTTACATGAACCTTTTGTCCATTTAAATCTTAACTTTAGTATAGGAAGTAAAATCAACTGTAGCTGAGTTGTAGGTAGTGATATAGGTTTATACAATATTATTTAGCCAAAAAAAAAAAAAATAACAGTACTCCAACTACCTCTGACCTTTGATTTTCTTGGTTTGACTTAATTAAGTTGTATATAAATTACATCAAGGCAAGGAGGAATGTTTTTCTCTTTTTTTGTGAAGTTTTTTGATAAAAAGATGCAGTATAGTTGATCATAATATGTTAAATAAATTGTAATAGCACTTAATAACGATTCTAAATTTTAGGCTAACAATATAATACGAAAAACGAGCACATAAGTATGATTAAATATTTTTACCCTTATAAAGTATAAATATTCCCCAAACGGTTTTTATATAAAAATTATACATTTAAATATATATAAATAGGTTTTTTGGTATAATACCAAAGCAATTGAATATATCCACAGTTCAGTTTGTTTCAATTGTTCAATTATTCGCTTTATTGCAGTTAAATCAGTAAACTATTTTACACTTTATAAACGCAAATTTATATTTATAGATACTTTGAAGCGATACCAGAAGGAAAACCATCACAACGGCATTTATACAAAGTATCTGATAATGTTAACAGCACAACAGGTTGGGAATGTTTGACATGTCCTCCGAATGGACCGCAAAAAAATACTTCCAAAATGGATAATTCTATGAGTTCAGATATCAGGTAAAACAAAAACTCAGTGAATATAATAAACTAGTATAAATATAATCTAGAAGTTATAATGATTTTAAACACCACATTAAATCAAATAAAAAAAAACCTTAAATTATACATTTTAATATGCTATGTTTAGTTATTTTGAATCTATATAGTTATCGTTTAACTTTATAAGTACGCTACTGTTGTCTAACGTAGTAATTTATGAAATATTAAATATATTAAGTTACATTATTTATTTTTTGTAGTGATTCATTCCGGTTGAGTCTGAAAGGGCTAGAGTCATCAAAACTACCACAAGATTCATGGCCAGTGAGGACCAACTCATGTTTATATGTCCGATCTCATTTCTGTCAGTACCCGAATTCTAAATACTACGTTTTAGAATGTTTAGGTAAGTATTGTTCAATTGAAGTAAGTATTTAATATAATTGATAAATGAATAAACAAGATGAAAAAGAAATGTTGGATGACGAGTAATAAAAGAAACTGTTTTTGTTTAGGTAGAAATTGTATTCTATGACTAACTTTTAGTTTATAACAAAAATATATAAATTATGCATATATATCATTAATCTATGTATTCTATATTACATTAAAATGCTTATTATAGATAATAATTAGATTATTTTATAAAAGCAAATAATATTTTTGTAAAATACCAACACAATTATCAAATAAACACAATTTAATAACTAAAATAGTAATAATAATAATTATCATCTATCATAACAAATGATAATACCATATTTGTATGTGTCCAATTTTCATATAATATGACAGTGCCATGTCCAAAACGGCAGTTATGCTAATGTTCCGTTTTTAAATGTTAAAGCAAATGTTTAAATTTGCTATACATATATTAAACTATAGTTATACCATTGATTATAGAATATACTATACATATATACTCTATATATTATATTCTATAATCAATGGTTATACCATGAACATATATTTGAATTAATAGTCTGAAAAAATGAAATTTTCTCAAATATCGATTAAACATTAAAATATTATTTTATAGGATAATACAAACGAATTATAATCTAAATAAAATTATTATGTACATTTTAACACATTATAAAATTAAGTATAATAAAAATATTTAATTTAGTAATTTGATTAAATATTATTTTAAAAACAATATTTTAGAAGATAAATTTAAATGTTCAATTCGTAATATGTTCTTTCATAATAAATACTTTTTTTATAATTGTCATATTTATAAATTTACAAAGTTGTTCTATCTCTACGTTAGTCTTAAAAATAGTTTTTTTTCTAAGCTAAACTTGACGTAAAAAAACGATATGAAGTGTTAACAATTTTAAATTAAAAACAAGAGTTTTACATATTATATTGTCTAACATTTTGGTTGTTAATATATATTTTTCTTTAGTTAAAATGTTTTGGCCCTAAATTAAATGTTTTACAGGAAAATTATTTTTGTTAAATAAAAAAAAAAAAAATGTGTAATTAAATTAAAATAATATGATATTAACACTATTTAAAAGTTTACCTTTTTATTTATTTTTTGATAAATATTCTACAATAATTAATATTTTGTTTCTATTTTGTATCATATTTTATACAATGAATATAAAATAGAACTTTTTGTTTATGACTTACTAGGTTTTTAATGTGAATGAAGTATAGGAGCTTATTTTATGCAACATTTTAGCTAAGAATAAAATATCACTATTAAATAGGTATCAACATTGTACCTATATTGTATTATATTTAAACATTATATATTTTGTTCAGTATTTATATTATATTTTATTCAAAGTTTTTTAGATTTATATTATTTTAAAAATAATGATCCTACACGGTTATTTTGGACCTTGAATTATAATTTATTGAATACTAAACACACTTGTATAAAAAAAAAGTGAATATTCAATAAATAAAACCTATATAAAACATATTGGTTATTTGCTTGTGAAATTTGATAAATTTACAAACAATCATAATTTTAAAATAGTGTAGTCTTAAATGTTATTTTGCTAAGTTTATATTATTTACAGGTCCTTTAGTACCCAAAGTTATATTAATGAATCTGCAGATAAATCAAAAAGTAATGATATTAAACAATTACACAACACTTGCGACTAAATATTCTACAATGGCTAAACCTAACATACAAATAATGCAGGTATAATAATAATGGAAACTAATAACGGTAGAATTATTAAATAGGTTTTGTATAATAACTGTTAAAAAAAAAAAAAAAAAACGATTTCTACAGGTGGAAGTCGAGAACGGATTCATCGCTCAAACCAAATTGATGCTGCCCCCTGCATTTAAAGAATATGACGAAACCGCATTCCCGTTTATTTTATACATGTAAAATTATTTTTATGGTCATTATTTTTTTTTATCACATCACAATAATATAGTTAACTTATAGTGACCGAATAACATTTAGTCACACGTGTTTAAATCAGAATAACAAATAATAGTATTATACTCAAAACGTAAATTTCGTGGTAAAACATTTTATTTGGTTACAGAAAAGGCAAACCTGGCACTCAGTCGGTGACCGAAGAGTGGTCTGTGGATTGGGCCACATACTTGTGTAGCAACAAAAATATTATCATCGCCATAATCGATGGTCGTGGAACACTAGGCCAAGGTGATAGATCCAGAACGTCCATTTACTATAAAATGGGAATCACTGACATCCAAGATCAGCTTTCAGTTTTATTGTAATTACAGAAACTAAGTTTATTCTTTTGTCTATAGATTTGTAAACACAGTATGTGTATACTGTTATAATAATTTATTTACAGGTATCTTAAAGACACGCTGAAGTTTATAGACAAAGATCGTATTGGAATTTGGGGCAAAGGATACGGTGGATATGCCACTGGAATGATCTTAGCCAAACGTCCAGAAGTATTTCGATGCGGAATTGCGACGTCGCCAATTACAAATTGGGCACATTTTGGTAATTATTATTCTACTGGTATTGATGTAAGCATGTACTTAAGAATACAATAAGAATACAAATATATTACGAATATAAAGAGATAAATGTTTTTAAGAAATTTAGAATGTCATAGTATCACTTTTTTTTTTCGTTTTACTGGACCCTGAAGTAAAAAATATTCTATTGATTTCCCATCCAATTTACACCAAAAATTGTTCGCTAATTATTGGTATTAAAATCATTTAAAAATAATTAATAAAGTTATAAAAAAAAAAAAACTAAATAATAATTATAATCATAATTTTATCGTTAACCAATTAACCAGCCATATCGAAACTGATGTTTTTTTTTTTTAGATTCGGCTTGGACTGAAAAGTTGATGGGCACCCCAAATGTGACAGACAATTATCGTGGATACGAAGACTCGGATTTAAGCAAAAAAGCAATTACATTGGATAAAAAACTGTTAATGTTAATCCATGGCAGTGCAGATGAAACGGTTCATTATCAGCATAGCATGATGCTGATTAGGGCATTAACAGAAAAGGGAATATTATTCAGACACCAAGTATGTCTTATTTTATTATTATTAATTATTATTAAATAATAAATAAGTTTAAGTTGTACGTTTAAAGATAAAAAATTCAACTAAAAACACTAGTACATAAGTAAGATATTGTCTTTAAATATCATCTTTTTTTTTCGGCGAATAAACAAATTATTTAAAAAAAAAGTTCTACTTAAAATGACGAAACAATTTGATGCATTTGATATTATTTAAATCATTAAAAATTAACTTAAAATTAGTTTACATGAGTAATATAATGTAAAAAAAATTTATTTAATTTTATTATTACTTTTTTATCATAGAATGATTATATTATTTTTAATACTATTAAAATAAAATGTAATACAACTTAAAATAATGATCAGTTGTATTAAATTTATTTATAATATAGCATGTTTAATTTATTTTTATTAAAACTGTAAAAACATATTGCATATGATGTGATCCAAGTACGATTATTATAAAATGTATAGATAATTTATTTAAAACTAATATAATTGTATAATATTAATATCATTAAATACTATTTAACCGTATTTTACTTTGTAGACGTATCCAGACGAAGGACACACTTTTGATGGATCAACTAAACATTTATTCCATGCTATGGAACATTTTTGGGACGAATGTTTTGGGCCATTGGATTTTGATGATTGGGACGAGAGCTTGAATTTTTTTGCTTTTACGCAGTAATACAAAATACAAACCAGTTTAATCAGTTATATATTTATGATTGGAAGGTATCAGTTTGTAATCCTAAAGAGTTATTTATATTCCTACATAATTTCTTGAACTTACACAGAAAATAAAAAACTTAAATATTGTTGATTTTATTATTATTATTATTATTATTTTTTTTTTTTTTAATGAACATTTGTTATATGTTGATATGTACGTAATTTATAATATTTATCATATTTATATTATTTCAAATTGATATAACCCTACAAAAGAATTTGTTGTTTTTAAAAGTATTTTAATCACTTATTGATATTTACATACGTGTGAGTTTACTTGGGTGTTTATGTTATCAGCTGTGTATTTATTATTGTGGCAATCATTTATCATTTAAATATTAAAATTGCATCATAGGAGCTTTAACAATAGATTATTTCTTATTATTATCTCCCCCCTCCTGTTAAAATAAAACAAAAAAAAACATGCGTAAATATACAACTGTATTGACTAATATAAATCCATCAATGTCTTCAGAAATGTTTTCCGATTAAAAAATAATATTCACAGGGTGATCCATTTCATAATAAAAAAAATATAATCATATTGTAGTCAAAGTTGTAATAACGAAATGAAGACAATCTGTGTAATTTGCCAACAAGTGGAGTCTTAAATTAATAACACCGGTGTACGATTATTATTATTATTATTATTATTTTTTTTTTGTACCACATTCAGAGCTTAATGTATCAATGTAATGTATTAATCAATAATTAAACTGACCGCAGTTTAAAATCATAAAATTATTTTTACACACAAGTTGTTTACTAACAGTGGTAATATTTTGCACATAATATTACAATAATAATAATAATAATATTTACATTGTAAATGATTCATTAAAATTTACACTTTTCTTTTTCAATCAGAATTAACTACAGTAGAAAGTTTTTGTAACTACTAAATTTTTTATTTTATCACTAGAGTAATAAACACATACATTTACAAATTATCAAATAATTCTGTTTAAGTAACATAACATAGCAAAATGCATTATATTCAAATATAGTCGGTTTTCTATTTATTGTTATTTGAGATATCGTATACATTATTTGGCTCAAGTAACTGTGATAAATGACTAAACAAAAAAAAAAAAAATTTTGACATTCATCATAGCAGTAAAACAAAAATGTATGCAACTGTTTTTTTTTTATTTCTTGAATATAAAAATATATATACCTATTATTATTTTATACTAAGTGTATGAGATTAATATTAACTAAAAAAATCATATAAATAATAAACTGCCTGAATATATATATATTTAATTTGATAAAAAACTAATAATTAATTATTAGTGAATACTTTATAACTAACATTTCATTCAAAACACATTTAAAATTTAATAATAATAGGAATAATAATCAATTCAATTGTATTATTTTTTTTAAAAATATGTAATCATGTCCGAAATAAAATATTATTGATATACAATATCTTAGAATTTAATTTAATTATATTATTTTATGGATTTTAAGAAGTTAATTCCTCTCCCCCCCCCCCTTCAAAAAAAAAAAAAAAAAAAATACATATATTAAAAATTTAAATTGTTATTAAAAATGGTTTGTTATATTATTCAATATTGAGTTCAATTTGTTAAAGTGATTGAAGTATGCATTGATGTTCGCTTGATAATATTATGTATTTATCTTAGTGTTTGGTACGAATTGATCTTTTGTTGTTATTTGGTTATACTGGCTATACAAAAAAGAAAATAATAATAAAAGAAAATTTTGTTATAGTATACTATATTATTCATACATTCCTCTAGTGACTAAAGATTAATAAGTATTTATAAATTTTATTTGTGAATTTTGTGTATTAAAATAGTTCAGATTATTATTTAATACAATTTAAAAAAAAATTCAAAAAATGTTGAATATAATAATAATATTGTGTAGATTTATTCATTTAGTACTAAGTTTCGTTGGCATGTAAATGTTATTTTGGATAAAATCCAAACTAAATACACAATTGTAATTAATATTTATATAATATTTATATATGCTTAATTAATAATATAAAAATTTAACTCGATTTTTAATGTTAAACTGTTGTTTTTCAAAAACAACATGAAATATTCATAAACAGTTATATTGTAAGAAAAAAAAAATAACGAGGAATAATCTATTGTGAACATTATTGTGTATCCCAATTTTCGGATTATATTGTGTAAAATTTTATTTTTTTATATCTCAAATGTTTTAGATATATTGTTGCTTGTGATGAATATTATTTTATGTTAATTTTGTAATGAATATTTTTTTTTTAATTTTTTTTTTTTTATGCCATTTTAAGTTAAGAGTTTTACCAAAGAGGTGACTGCAGACTGATTAATATTTCCATTAAGCCTTCAGTTTCGTATTAAATTTTTCAACAGCATATTTTATATTTTATTTAAATACATGCTTGAAAGTAGTCTCACGTACACTCCAATCTTAAAAAATTTATAAACATTATATTTATTAGATGGTGTATTGATTTTTTAAAAACGTTCTTGTCTTATTCCCATAAGTTGTCTTTAATACCACAATATTGTTACAATATTTTTCTTCGTCTCCTAATTACTTAATCTCCATTCGAAACATGCATAATGATATACAAAGTCTAAAATATTATGTAAATTGAATCTAAGTTAATCATTAGTCATTTTCAGAATATTATAATTTACCTATACGGTATATTTCATTCAATAGTCTTATAATTACTATGATTATATTATTATTATTATTATTATTATGTCATTGATCCTAATCCCTTAACATTGATGACGATTCCGTTAAGATTTGATCTCTTGGTTTTGTTTAATACGAATAATTTGGCTGTGTTTTTATATATATATACGTTTCGTTTTCCTAGTTGTTGTGTTTAGTGTCTTTTTTTTTTTTTGCATGCATTAGGCCCGAGGTTACGAAGTCCGTCCAGTGCGTACAACATAAACCTATGGTTTATGTCTCGACTATTATTCAAATTAGTTAACACGGATAGCTTTAAATATCACATAATGTATTAATATTATTATCGCGGACTAAATAGTCAGTGGAAACACAAATAAAAATTATTATATAACCAATATTAAAATAACGTTTTACTCTTATATAATGATATATTATATTACTCTTAGGTTAAAGTTCCTCAAATATAATTAACTATTCTAGGTGGGCTTCAGTTTTTGTTTGAACATTTTTAAAACATATCAAATAAGTAATTTTTCGATTGCGAAGTACCTAAAGATATGATATTATATAAGTTTCTAATATTTTACTCACCGACACTTGAATCAGTGACGTTACAAATGTTAAACGCTTCCATGTACTAGATACCCAGTTATTTTAAAAAGTTTACGTTAAAATATTTTGTTATTGTATTGTTATGTTTATAATTTATAAATGAATATATACATATATATATATTGTATATTATATAATATATGCACCTTATATAATATATATATTTAGTTTGAGAAAAACTTGCATTGAAATGTAATGTTAATATCTTACAAATATCGGCCTTTGTTACAGGCGTATGCTTATGTTAAATATACAATACATGTAGATGAGTAATAATAAATTATATATATATATTTTTTTTTTTTAGCTATAAATTACCTACAATAAACTAAGAAATCGAAAATGTTAAAAGCAATGTTTTTAACCTAACCGTTTCATATTTGTGCTTTGGATGTATAATGTACATCAATTATTGCATTAATAATATACATTTATATGGTTGTAATATGTTATAATTATTAATATACTATAATATACAGCCTTTAAAAAGTAATTTACATACTGTGTGTTTCTATTGTTTCTAATAAATAATACGTTCAAAACAATTTTCATGTATTGTTAAGTATACGGTGTTACGCGAATGATTATTTGATGTTAATGTTTAAGAGTTAGGTACTTAATGAAAATATTATAAATATATTATTGTGTTAAATTTTTGTGCGTTCTGATGCAATGTTTTATTATATTATACTGAAAAAATAAAACAATAATTAATAATATACTATTCATTCATTTTTTTTAGATTAACACTAGTTTTGATCTAATATTCAAATCCCATATATAACTATAAGGCCAAATTATATCAAACAATGTTCAAGATTAATATCAATTTGACAATATAAAAATAATTACAAATGGGTATATAGTTATGGTCCATATTTTAAATTTTGAGTGAAGCAATGAATATTGCTATTTTATTTTATTTTTTAAATTTAGTATAAGTAGTTTTAGTTAAATAAATGTTTTATTCTTCAATATTTAAGGTTCTCTTTAATAAATTATTGTATTTAGATGTTATTTTTGGGAATTAAAAATAAATATTCAAAATATTTTTCAAAAAAAAATAACGAAATTTTATAATTTGAAAAGAATAACTTTATATACTTGAAATTTGAACCAAATATCACCAAAGAATTAAAAGTACATTAGTACATTTTAAAATTTAAAAAAATACATTGACTTATTTTAAGTTTTTTTATAGACATTTTAAATTGACCATTTTTTTTTCTATATTTGTCGATAAAAACAAATTTTGAAGTTTAAAGCACTTGAAAATATTATAAATGTATAAGATTCCTTATAAAGTAACTCATTTACTATTCCTAAATTCTCGAAACAAATGATCATTTTTTTATAAAGTAATTAATTTATATATATGTATATATTTATGACTTGAATATTTAATACAAAATTCCTAATATTATGTTTCTATAATAATAAAAAAAATATATATTCATCTAAACCAGCGGTTCTCAACCGGGGGTCCGTGGAACCCTAGGGGTCCGCGAGTAGGTATTAGGGGATCCCCGGAAAAAAAAAAAACATAATGGCGAAAAAGGTAAATTCATATCTATCTTATGTAACAATATATGACAAATTGGCATTTGGGGGTCAGTAAAGTAGTAGTGAACGTTCAAGGGGTGCGTGAATGAAAAAGGGTTGAGAACCGCTGATTTAAACTATATACGTTTACGATATTAAATATTAATTTTTGAAATAATTATTTATCTCCTTAGAAAATGTTTTAAATTTTATTTTAATCGATAAAAAAATACCTATTGATACATGAAAATTTCACCAAATATTTATATTATAATCATTTTACATGTATGATTAAACAATTCTTAATATTTAAAATTAGAT